AGGGAAAAGATCTGGTCTAGAATTTCAGACTATTTTCTGTGTTTGCAACTTGTGTCCTCAGAGTTAGTGGAAATCTTTTTCCTACTCGTGGTGTTTCATTGTTGACTCAGATGCTGACAATATGAGTAACAGTGTTTTATAACAAACTTTTATTTGGGCATTTAGGTTAAGCTGTAATAGTGCATCTAGATTCATTACTGATGATAAATGTACCCTGTTAATCAAGACAAGTGATGGAAATTGGTGCTATCTGCCAAACCTTCTTCACCTTGCTACTCAGGTTTTCCTACAGAAAAGGTGAACAGAATTTCTTCATAAATAATTGGAAGAAAACACAGTAGAAAACTTAAGTGGCTAGATTTGACCTTCCCTTTATTGTAAATAAATACATCTTTATTAGTGCAATATTAATTTTCATTCTGAGGGGAAGAGATTTGTCAGGCATGAAAAATGTATCAAAATAAAATTCTACTTCAACTCTAGTAACAGAAAAAGATATTTAACTTTGGAAGGGCTCTGTGAAGATCATATTATAGGGTATCAAATCAAGAGTTTTTGCAATGTCAGATGTTTCCAGGATAATCCTAGTCATTTTATGCAGTCTGTATTTTCACTGATAACTGAGAATTTTCTAATATGGGGAAGAACAATGCCTTTTTTTTTTTTTTGGGATCATTCTTTAGGGTATGTCTCCCATGTATTTTTTCCCCCTATGATATATGATTGTGTAGAGAGGAGAAAAGGAGAGTAACTCATTTTCTGTTTAATATGTCATCTGAATAAGACTGATATATCCTGCATTCTACCCTGTGTCCCCTGATCTCATAAAGGGCAATGTTTTAAAAAGAAAATTGAATGTGACTTTGATTGCAGACAAGCTTAAGATTCTGTTTTTCTTGATTGTTTTGGGGTTTTCAAAAGCAAAATAGCAGAGTTCAAAACAAAACAATGGTGTTATATTCCCAAGACTTTCTAATTCAATAAAGAACTAAACTGCCCAGAATGCTGCATGTGGAAGCAAGAATTTTGCATCAACCTAATACACGTTCTGAATCTTTCTTTTTCCCTCCACCCACCACTCTCCATTTCTGAACTACCAGAAACATTTTTAGCTAGAGATACTTTTTGGTGCTCTCTCTGAAGTATTGTGGAATGGAGATGCAGATGATCTCTGTGCAGCCTAGCAAGCTTCAGTTTCTTCTAGAAGCCTATTTATGGAGTATTCTGGTTTTTTATTTCTTTTTTCATTATTTTAGTGATGTTTTATATATTATTTCCAATTAAAAGCAACTTCCTATCAGAACTTCTGGTTTATACTTTTTAGCAGCTAAATGGAATGCTTAATATGAACCAACAACAGGCAGTCCTGTAGACTGCAGCATTGCCTCATGATGAAGTCTGGTGTTAGAGCACTTCTGGTTTTACAGCTCTTGAACTCAACTTCCTCAGTTTTGAGGTGTCTTATCTAATGATGAGTACCCATTACTGTGTGTGTATATATTAATTTATAAACTGTTGAAGTGTTCCTGACATTCTTATAAACTTACAGTTTATGCACCATTATATTGTTGGTTTTTTTCTGGATCTGTATGCTAATGTTTACATGATTTTGTAGGAATACAATTAAAAAATTCTAACTGAAGCAATAGTGTGTGTTTTGTGTCCTAATATCCTTTACAGGATAGAGAAATTCCAGCTCATTTGAATGCACGTGGCACAATACTATAGGTAGTTCTAGCAGCAAATTTAATAATGCAAGTATGTTGACACATAAAATACAGCTCATTTATTCTTACTGTGCAGTATTGTAGCAATTTCTCCCATCTGTGTAACAATGTAAAAGTGAAATGACTACTGGGAATTAGAATGGGAAAGGTGTTGTCATGAGTGGGAGGTTTCATACATGGATTTGGCCATGTGTAGATATCTCAATGTTAATTTCCCGTTTTCTTTTGGTAAGCAAGTAAGTGATTAGTCTTTCAAGTTCATGAAGGAATATAGCTAAACAAAAGCAAATGAAAGCCCTTAAAAGGTAAAGTGAACACGTTTCATAAATGTTTGCATGGTTTGTAAAAGCAGGACTAACATCCTCTTAAATTAAAAGTTTTAGAACCATTTTTCAAAAATCTTGTTTTAGGCTGTTAAGGGACTAATTTTTTTAGCATTACAAAACATAAGGATAAATTATAATTTCTGGTTGCTCCACAGGTTTTAGATGTAGCAAAGTGTATTAAAGTTTGCAGTGTTAATGGCAAAGGATTCAGTCTGCAGTGCAGCAGAGACAGTCCCACAGACACGACGTGCAGGGATGTCTGCCCT